ACACACACTCTTAAACACACACACACACATATATATTAAAGTTGTTTGGTATATAATTACAAATTAAATTGATAAATAAATAAATAAATATTTCTTTATTTGAGCAGAAAACCTTGTGTCATTGTCATTTTGCATTATCACTTAAAACAAAGTGAGCTTCAAGTTCAAATGTCTGTATCTATAAAATGACGCAAAGTCTTTACTATAAATGCTACTTTGCTATGCTTAATTTGCATAAATCTACATGAATTATACAGACTGGCAGGCTATTAATTAAGAGCGATATATTCTTAGGAAAACTTTGAAAATTAAATAATATATTTTTTATTTCAAAATGGATATAGGCTGTCCTTAACAATTTTAAGTTATAGGATACATATTTTTCCCAAGCTTATATAGTAAGGATGATGCAACACAGCCGCATTAAATGTCTTCTGCTGTAAACAAATGAAAAAGATCAGCTAAACCTTTCAACTAAAACGTTACCACTTTTGTGGCTTCTTTAGGCTTCCCTTGGTGGTTTGTTTTCCTTGAAGGAAGCTTTAAAAGGATTGCACAAGGCTATAACTGTGGCAACCTGCCTGCAGAGAATCAAAGAGAAAAAAGGAAGAAAAGCCCTTTGTTTAGGCTATTGCCCTGTCTGGACAGGACCAGTGGATTCCAGGAGGGTAATTTCAATATCGCACAGACAGTGTACTAGACAGTGACCTTGACAGTGCTATATGCTCCGTTTAAGTTCTTTTTAAATAGCTGATTTTTTTTCACTCTTGCTAAATGAGAGCACAAGACCTAAAGCTCACGGTCAGATATGACATCATCGCAGAGCTAAAGATGCACTGAACAGACGAGCAGTTGTTTGAATGTGAAATGCGGATCTGTGGGAGAACTGGATCGGAGGCGTGGAGAGACGAGGCAAGGAGGCGCAACACATGGCCTCTTTTCTCCGAGGTAAAGTGGCGTCTTAAGCCTACTCTCACTGGATCACCATCCGGGCCATTTTGTTGTAAACATCACACTGCACTGTTTTGCTTTTGGTAGCTGTTATAATAACACGAGAAGCCGTGAAGTGAATACCAAGACACCCTCCAATGCTCCTCATAAGACTGAGGCACAAGATATTATATTGGATTGATGCTTTGCTGCATTGCGAGACTCACTAACTAGATGCAAGAATGTGCAGTGATAGGAGAGGCAGTGAGTCCAGGGGACAAAGTGACACCGCAACGGATCCCTCAGAGCTTCTCCAGTTTAAACATTTGATATTTGTCTTTCTATTTAAGGCTAGAGCAAGGCCCGGTGCCTTTGGGGTTCGATAGGATACATGGTCACAAGTGACGGATGCAGCTATCAAATATCGACTGACTTGCAAATCGTTCCCAAACCAATGTTTAAATGAATGCTAATGTTCTCACATAACACTTCATTGGCAATTTTGCAACACGCAACTAGCGCCGTTCAGCACGCATGTGCAAGCTGCTGTAACCCTGCACCCTTTTTGTTAATCTTTAACGTCACAATCCGAATTATTAATGAATGAAGTCACTCTGTTTATTTGTATTATTTGGACGGTTATCAATTATTTTATTTTCAGGCTGCCATCTTAAGGAAGATGATAGGTTGCTTTTTAAAGCAGCGAAATAGCAATCGAAGCATCTCGGAATATATTCCCATTAATTTTATGACTTGTGCTGTTAGCCCTCACTTTAAGCTGCCACGGCCTAAAAGGTTGTTTATATGTGTATTCTATTTTATTGATTCTGATTTTTACTTCTTTTATTCGTTTAAATGGAGTATTTGAGTTCAATATCAAGTTCAACCCTCCGTGACTCTGCGTCGTGAACTTGAGTGGATTGACGGCGGCGTACATGTAGTGTGCTTGGTTATATTTAGGATTTTATTTCTTATTCTAATTCAGTGTCATTGATGAGTCCAACTATTTGTCCTTGTAGTAGTTAGACTTATTTTAACTACCATTATTGAGACATAAGCAGCTCCCCACTGCTGAGTTATTACAACTTTTAAGATCCATAAATTGATTTTGTCTACCTTCGAGAGTGGGGTTTGGTGGTAAATTTTGAATTTATAAAGGGAAAGAGGGATTTCCAAAATTGTTGCTGATATTATATAGAAATCTATAAACGAATGGAAAGTCTTCCTAGATTTATTTTCCAGTTAATGAGGAGTGTGTAGACTCGGGAGAGGAATGCAAAAGGCATAGGTCAGTCACAAGAATATATGTTTGGGGATGATGGTTGGGCAGCTTGATGACCAAAAACCATATTAGAAATTCTTGCGCCAGCTGTTGGCAGAAAGCTTGAATCATGTGCATATCATAGCAAAGTTTTATGCAGAAAAAGTGCACTTCGCTGGAGTCTCTGAAAGTGTTCTGTTGGTAAGAAAAATTAGGCCTTTTTTTTGTCTGTCACTGCAGTGTGACACATCCCATATTTGTTCTGTGTCTTAAGAGTTGCATCTACAAATCAACTAATTAGCGAGATATAAAGTAGAGAGACTCTCGGCTTGTTGAATCAGTTAAGTGCCCTCTGATATCTTGTAAAATTCATATAAAAGAATTGTGAGAGGTATAACAATCCCACCAGAGTTTGGCTGCGAACGTTTATTGGAGGTATCTGTTAAAGTTGTTCATGTGAGGTGTACTAGAGAATATTATGTGAAATATACCCTCTTAAAGTAACCTTGTAGAATATCGTCCTCTTTTACAGAGCCAGTGGCTTCAACCTGCTGACCCCGTTACTGTAAATATGAGTAGAGTGCGGCAATGAGCATCAGTCTTTTCTTAAAACAAGCTTGTAAAATTGGGACATCACAGCTTTATATGACATGGAATTCAACCATAATTTGCTAGAAAACAAGATGTCATATGCACCCTCTCCTTCAAGAAAAATAGTTTTCATAAGAAATAGCATTTAAAAAACTTTTGCCAGCTTATAAATATATTAAACGAGGCCATGGACAGTTCCACGAGTGTAAAAGGAGAAGCAGCCTGGGCTCCTTTTGGACTCAGCATGTCTCAAGTGAAGAAAAACAGGATTCTACATTTTTAATAAAAGGTTTATAGTATTTTTAAAAAGCATATAAACCTCTGTAATACAGAAGTTAATGTTTTGTTTTGTCTGAGATGGACCGAGTGGGTGGTACCATGTGTATCAGAAGTTAGCCTGGACACGTGGTTTGGGGATGACCAATCAGGCGCCCCTCCAGGTTTAACTATGTTAAATGTCAGATTGCAATAAACTAGAAGCTGTTGGTCGGGCCCGCGGAAATGGGCGAGCATAATCTCCTTAATCCAGGGTTTGTGGGACCTTTGGTAAACATCCACACTGGAGACACATTTTACTTTCCGAATTTTAGAGCCTCAGGGGGACAACTGGCGGGGCTACCGTCTCTCTCCTACCCGAGAAGGGACAATGTTTGCTCCCTCCCGTGGAATCCTTCGGAGCCGTGCAATGGATACTCTCAATCCTACTTTAGCAGCCCCGTGTCTATTAACCCTTCTTTCAATCGGTCGTGTGAGATTACCAGACCAGAAGAGGGTAAATGTTATTATAATAACGGCAACGGGAACAGGGAGACCTGTTCAGGTGGCAGCAGCCTCAAAAGAGAGGATAGGGCGAGAGACACATCATCATTAACATCTGACCACGGGATGCACAGTGGAATAGGCAGCACTGTCGCCTTTTCCAAATATGATTATGGGACCGAGCAGCTAACGCAAGACCCGCCGTCCTGTCAGTCAATGGAGTCCGACTCCAGCTCCTCTCTGCTCAACGAAGGGAGCAAGCCTTCATCCAGCGACACACAGACCCTGGTGTCACCGGGAAGCCATTCGAGCAACATAGCTGCAGGCGGAGGTGGGTGCTATTATTTTACTAAAACACAATTGTTATAAATGCACGTTCACATTATTAATAAGAAGGCTGCACGTAGTGTACACTTGCGGTATTACACCGTCATTAGAGCTCGTTATCTTGATGCACAACTTGCAGCCTGCATTAGCCTGCAGGGTACTTGCGTGGTGTGCAAACGCCGCTAGGGGTTGCCCTAAAATACCTCACGCGCCATGTGGTTGTGTACAGTTACAGATAACCCCACTAAACCATATTGCCAGGCAGCTTTTGAATAGAAGATAAGCCCTGTCATTGATTTTTCCATACACTAAACTAGAAACTGCGATTTAGGCACACCAGTGGTTGATTTTGGTGTATTGTTGCACTTTGTGCCACAAATTAGCGCAGTGATTTAAAGAGGTGAGGCGCTATGGTTGACTGCATCGAATAGAGTGAGTTTTCTTTTTAATGACTCGTAAACAGAATTAATATCTGTCGCTGTGTACTCAAGAGTCATTTAATATGCTCTGAAACTCGCAAATAAGTAGGGGTATTTGCAAGCATGGCTTAATTATCACGTTAATGCTACTTTAACTGCAACAATAAAACTTCCTGTGACACAAACCGCTGTATACTGGTGGTCTTTATAGGGCCGTTGAAAGATAGAAAATATGATTAAAAATTGTGCAAAATTTGACAAGTTATTGTGCTCCTGAAATTGGATTTGAGATGAGATATGCCCATGCAGTCCAGGCAGAGACCAAAACAAATCCAGTTTTGCTGTGTGTGTGTGTGTGTGTGTGTGTGAAGTGACAGCTTCCAGGGGCGTCAGTTCTCTTAATTCTAATATAAAGCAGAATCCCTACATCTGGAATCTTTTGCAAAACATAGAAATCTCCTCTAGATGACGGAAATGATGTGTGCATTTGCAGAGCGGCTAACATATTTTGGAAAACTGATGGTTTATCAGTGTAATGTAATTTCACTTCTGGTTGCTCTCCGGAATAAAGCTTAAATGTATGTCAAATCAACTTAGAGTACAGTAGGGCAATTACCCAAGCTTGCCTTGGACAACTGATGCCCCTATAGGCTCCTCATAACCTTGGAGGTGACCGTGATTTTGCAACTGTGGTGACTAATCCGTTGTATGCCCCCTCCTCCTCCTCCCCCTCTCCTCCAGCTGCCCCGTGGTACCCGATGCACACTCGGACCAGAAAGAAGCGTAAACCGTATTCCAAACTTCAGCTGGCTGAGCTAGAAGGTGAATTCATGATGAATGAGTTCATCACCAGGCAGCGGCGGAGGGAGCTCTCCGACCGCCTGAACCTCAGCGACCAACAAGTCAAGATCTGGTTCCAGAACCGCAGGATGAAGAAGAAGAGACTCATGCTGAGGGAGCAAGCTTTGGCCTACTTTTAAAGATGCGGCAGAAGGTGAATCGATAGGCAGTAAAAGCCAAGCCTTCTACGCTCCCCTTGGTCTTCTTTTCAATGCATGCACTCATCTATCCATCTTTTACGTTGCAGGCAATTATTACAACATTTTCTGATATTTTTATTTCTCAAAGGTGCGGGCTAAACGAGCCCAAAAACAAGCCACTACATGGCATTCAAAGCTATATTCTACATGTCAATAAGACATGTCTTCATGTTTGGTATTGTCGCACAAAAAAAGCTGTGAGGATATGTTTTCTCTGTAGGCTGCATCTCTTGTTTTTCCTGATTTGTCAGGAGATCAGTCTACGCCCTAAATGTCAGCAACGCGAAGGTGTCGTCGGGGCAATAGCTCAGTTTTGGGATGACACATAATAACAACATCCTTTTTGTTCCATTTTTAGTCAGAGAAAATGAGGAGTGAGCGGGGCCACTTGGTAAAATCTCCAAAAATAGGCCTAAAAATAACAGTGGAGTCAGGAAGGACAGCAAAGACTGACAGACAGGCTTCATACGCGCAATCATTTCTCTGAGGTTATGAACTGATAAAGAAGTATCTCCCTCCCGGTTGCTCAAAAACTTCCAACAGCCATAATGTGTTGGGTAAGAGGAACTTCACCTTATCTTCCTTCCTTTTAGTTTTTTCACCACGCGTTTGTGGGCACGTTCACGGTCACGGGCAGGAAGTCTGGAAGTCTGCATGAGGAGAGGGAGGACTAAAACCGCAATGTAATCCATATCGATATCCCTATCTTTGTTCATGCGCTAACGAGTTTCTAAAGGTGTTTTTTTTACTTACTTTTCTTACCTTTCAACTTGTCTTAACAACAACCACAGGATCCTGCATGGGTTGCAATTCTTTAGCTGAGTGAGATCACCGTTTGAATACGGGTTTGAGCTGCTATTAAAAGTCCACTTCCAGATAGTGCCAGTTTAAAAATAAAAATAAAAATAATTAATTAAAAAAATCGTGTATTCTACAATAAACTCGCTTGGATCTGTAGTGGAAAATTTTCACCAGTACAAGTACATTTTTAGGCCAGCTTGGTTAAACAAGGGAGCCGCCTAAAGTTGCAACTGGGAGGGGGGAGGATAAGTTTTTAGGCCTAAACGAGCCTTTCTGAAACTTGGTGCTCATAATGAAAATAAATATGTAGAAATTTAGATAAGTTAATCATAGGCCTACGTATGTGCTCCCTTAATTCGAGGGGGGAGTGCAGTGCATCATCTGTCATGTATAACGAGTAAGCTATAGCAGTGAAATGTATTTGCAGCATGTTATTGATGTGAAATAGCTATAAGTCATGTTTTGCGGGCCACTTTTTCTGTAAGTGACTTTTTTATACATTTTTTTCCTGAATAAATCAAAAGGAAACTCCACCTAAACATTTTTGACACAAACGTCTACAAAGAATGTATTATTATTAATATTATTTTATTATTATTATTATTTTATTATTATTAGGATTGAAGGACGAAGGGCCTACTAGGCCTACTTAATGTACTTGCTAATTGCAATGTGCTCAGTGTTGTCCCTTTCCTTACCTTGTACTCGTGTATAACTTTGTAAAATGAAATTACATATGTTACTATTTGAGGATCCCTTATCGCTATGTAATAGTGCTTTATGTTATTGATCGTCTTGTACAATATCGCATTCCATATAGCCTATTTGTGGTTGTGAGGGTTGGAAATGTAGGCCTATTATACTGCCAAGAATGGATATAAGAAATGATATGCAAGAAATTTTTACCATACATGACGTTTAAAAAAACCCTGTTTCAGTGTAATAGTTGTTTGTTATCGTCCTTTTTTTCCGTCCCTCATTGCATTCCCTTCTTTGCGCTTGTAAGGATTGCTACGTTGTCTTGTAAAAGTAATAATGATATGAATGTATATGCGTAAGGTCTTCAATAAACAGAATATTGAAACGTTTATGGGTGTTACCTCAGTCTGTCATTAGGTTGCCTCTCTGAATGTTCTGCTTTAAAATCAGGTTTTCTCAGTGCTGACTGGTTGGGATTATTTTATTAGACGTGACCTGTAACACAGTTTAAAAATACATGTGTCCACCACCGCAGTGAAATAAAGATCTGAACATTAATGGGACATTTGGAAGCATTTGAGAGGGTGTTTTGTTGGCGCATAATTGTACATGCTGTGAACTATAATCAATAGGAGCCCACACAGGTTGGCCTTTGTTTTATTATGGCCGCTCAGATACAAAGGTAGGGCTATAGGTAGGTATGATAGCATTCTATGCAAAATGGCGGCCAGATTATACTCTAAACTCCATTTTACATTGAATATTATACCTATTTTGTAGTAGCCTGGTATACTACACATGCTATACAACTATATTAGTTTAAGGCACAAAAAAAAAAGTTCACATTTTTTCTGGAGCTTTGTGGTTTCCCTTGAAGTTCGACCTAATCAATGTCACTGCTATGCTACAAGCCTATAACGGCGCAGCTAAACACGCAATAGCTCTGTAAAGCAGTAATAGGGTTACACCCCAGTGCTCCATATAGTCAAGCCTCTTGGCCAGTCCTTTTCCCTGTGCGCATCCCATCTTCTGGTTTGCATTATGGATTTAAATGCTCGGTAATTACATATCAAAACATGGTTTTGGAGAGCTACATGCACTCAGATCAGGAAAAAAAAAATCTTTCTCAAATGGGATACAAACGACAGTGACGGTTGTATCATAAACCCATATCTAAAAATCCACAAGGCTCTCCCTACTGGCAAGGAAGTGTAAAGCAATGCAGGACTGTGCAGTGTTTTCCTATCAGCTAAATAACCAAGCATTAATGCTTCTGTCCTCAACAGCTTCCAGTCTCAACTGGCTGAAGTAGGTCCAATGGAAACTGTTGTGCTGTCTCAGTGTTGAGATCAGATGTTGCCATTTCAGTGAACTGTGAACGGACTGGTTGCAGGAGCGGCCTTCCTGTGTTAGTCTGTTCATGATCACAACACAAATACACACGTGTAAGATGACGTGGGCTCATTAATAACACAATACTCTTGGTGCTGGTACTAACTGCAAGCTTGATCATGTATAAATTAAGATTTGGTGTAATTACAACAAGACATATATAGCTTTGAGCTGATAAAAGCCTCGCTGCAGTACTAAACTCTTCTATTGCCTTGTACTGTAATGATTCCTCAGCAGCTCACAGAAGCCTCTGATATGTGTGCCTGTTTACCTCACTACAAACTTCCAATTTCCACTGTTAAGCTACAAATACCCATGTTATGTATTCATCAACATTACTGCATAATATATTTTTTATGTATTGTATACATACATGTAAAGAGAGGAAAGGGCCCTCTGGACGCGCTATGACACAATGCGTCAGTTTGCAGATATTAAGAAGAATAATTATGAAAATGCTGGTTTCCAAAATTACCCCTGTAAATATTTTAAGTTAATCATTTAATAAACTAAAATGGTAATGTTTGAATGTATAATTAGACTGTATATAATTATATGGAATCCGCTGGTTTTGTGTTTTGGAAAAATGCTTTTCATGTGCATTTGCGCGTCTGATTAAAGCTGGTTTTAAGAAATAATTTCAATTGAATAACTTCCTACAATTTGAACATGGTTTGTAAGACTGACTAGTATCTGAATTTGAATTGTTTTCTTCGTGTAATAAGAGAAATACAGGCGTACTGTTTTGATATGCACTCTTTTACGCACCTACATCATCCATATGTCCATGTATGTTTTAAGAAATACACAGTCTATTAGTTTTAAAGTGGCGCCAGTCTAATGCAATACATAATCAGTAAGTGTACCAAGTGTTTGCTGCAATGTGATTGCTTATAACTAAGACCACGAAATAATACTGGGCAGATCTGCTATAGCGTGTATTGAATTTGATAACCCAGTGGACATCATTCATAACAGCTCCAATCTTTTTTAGCCTATCAAACGCGCCGTTGACCATGAAAGGAGATAAACTAGTGTCTTATGTTTGTGTGTTGCCTTGTTAAATGGGTTAGAGGAGAATAATAGATGCAAAATGCACCATGACGCTCCTGACTGTCCTGTAGTACCTCAGCCATTATTTGTTAAAAAAATCTTCAAGGTCAATTATGTTACAAATATTGTCTATATCCCTTAAAAGGCTCCAGGAAACCATGTCCATGTACGCTCTGTTGAAATTTAAACATCAACAATTGTAATAAGTTAATTGGGTTCCATTATTTATATTTCTGGTTTTATATGCCTTTGAGCTTGTAAAAATACGGAAAACAATCTGGTGATATGGAAAAGAGAGCGGAAGAAAATAGATGTTAACCAGGATCGGTGATTTGTAACAAAAAGAAATGCAGTAGATTGGCGTTCAGTTAACTGAGGAAAATGCAAAACTGAAATTTACAGCAGTGACATTTTGCATAGTATGTTAATGAAAATGCATTTTGTCAAAGAGGACATTGGTGTAAGCATCAAAATGACTGACAAAACTGAGCCCAGCGCGAATCCTCTTTATTTCTTACCAAGATTAAATTATATAAACAGTGGTTAGTGTTTCCTGTGTAAAACGTTGGGATTATTTGGACTGAATAGCAGAGAGCAGTTAGCTCCTTAAACGGGGCCAAACGGATATCTGAACATGTAGTTTTAACTTGAACTTCAAACCAGACGAATCTGTTGCTGTTATGTGTCAGTTGTCTGTGTATCCTATTTATTCAGGTGTTTCTACCCTTAATTTAGCTTTTCCTTGTGACAAATAAAATTGTGCTAAAAACCTTTTTAAGAGCTTTCCACGTCCAACAAAACACCAAACATTGCACTGCGTCCTTTACCTGCCATCCCTTCTCCTCAAAACCTAAAAATCATCACTGCATTGCAGCTAATATTAGTTTGCACTTATTTGCATTGCCTTCATTCTAATTTAGTATAATTTCATCAGTGCAGGATATAATTAGGAATCAAAAACCAAAAAAAGAAAAGAAAAAGAAAACGTCGCCATTGCGGAGAACCTCAAGATATTTGCATTGTAAAACAGGATGAAATCTCAGTTGGCTTTGCAGGTCTTTACAATAGGTCTTTCACTGCTCTTGAGCACGTTTGACTTTGAGACTGGCTAAATCTGTTTATGGCGGCCTGTCTCCGCGTCCCAAAGGTCAGTGAGCTTCACAGTGCCCTTCGCAGAGAACTTGTATGGCATGTGGTCTGCGTCCCCCGCCACCCCTCTGCCGTTTATGGTACGAAGCTGGCTGGAGAAATAGAAAGCAATGTTATTCCTACTGAAGTGTATGTGGGGGAGTGTAGAGTGTGTGTGAGTGTGTGAGTGTGTTTTCAAGGAGAGTGTTAATGTGATAGAGAAAAGAGAGGATAGATAGAATGCTTAACATAAAAGATCCATATCGTTTTCACTCCTTTCAGAACTGTTATATATTGATTTTGACATGATCTGAAATGAGTTCTTTATGAGCTCAATTTTTCTGGAATGTACTGTCTTATCAATTTGTTTTTCAATAGCATCGCGTCCAACAACCCTTAATGCGGGGTGTGAAGGTTTCATTGCTGCCTTGAAGAGTCGGAATCCTCTTAGACCAGTTGTCTCTGATGGAAAGAAAGGAGAAACATCTTAGAATTTCAAAATTGATAGAGGTCGAGATTGGAAGTCAGTAGGCAATTGTTTTCATTTTGTTGTTCTCGTTTAGGCTACCATCATTGGTATTTTTCACCTTGTATTTTTGAAATCGCGCGATAACGTAGTAGCAATGTAAAGAATATGTACATCTGTCAGCGCCTGACCTGATATTTTGCTCAGTAATAGTTGCACACTATTATTTAATCTCACT